GTTTGTGGCATTCTTCACGGTGGGTCAGCAGCAGTGCTAAATCAATGTACAGGCAGCAGGAGGCTGCCGGCTGCCGGCTGCCGGCTGCAGAATGCGACTGCAGACTGCCGGCTGCCGGCCGCGGTGTCCTAATTGGAATGCTCACCCGAAGGACATTAACGAGCTGCGTGTGTGTTGATAACAGCGACTCGGCCCGGTGTGGGCCACTGAATTGTCAGTGACAAATAGTCAGACTGATATAGCGACAGACCGACACAAGCAGCGACACAATTAAAATTTATAACAATAGACCGTGTCAGTTGCAGCTACAATTTAATTGCCACTCGCCGAATTGTCGAATTGTCGGGTTGCCGGGACCAATTCTCTCCGGACGGGGCGTGGGCCGCGCCACAGCATTAAAGGGGAATTTAAATGCATAAGCCACAAATGAGGGCTATCAGTTTCACGCACGCAATTATCACAACATTTTTCGGTCTGCTTAATTGCAGTTTAATGTGTGGCCGACAAGCGCTCTCATAAATCTGATTCATTATATTCATTATGTTTGAGTTATTTGACTACAAATTAACTATTTTTACTCCCCTGGCATTCGAGGACTTTTCGGTTAACTTCATCCTCAACATTTGTATGAAGCGTCCCCTACACAAACCTTATATATAAGTAACACATAAGTACATATTAATGAATATCATTTATACTCAGAAAGATGAAACTTTGAAAATGGGCATTTTATTTTTAAATATTTGAGTCATATTATTTTTATTATATTTGAATCTAAATTGGAATCATTTTTATACGTCCGTCTTGAACATGTCGATCTTAGAAAATAAAAGAACTGGAGACTTGAAATTTTTGTGTAGATCCCTGTATAGCAGGCGAAGATCGAGTTTGTTTCTTAAGTCGATAACTACTCTCGTTATTTTGTTATCAATTAAAATCAATATCGAAAATTTGTTATTAAAATATGTCACCTACGTAATTTTATAGTTTCGATTTTTGTTCTACTTTTGTTTCGTTACCTCGACGTATTCCCTATACATGTTTCCTATACGTATTTCCTATGTAATCCTCCAAGTATTTCCTCTACATACATCCTCTACGTTTTCCTTTATGTATTTTCTCTAAGTATTCCTTTACGTATTTCCTCTACGTATATTCTTCACATATTTCCTCTAAGTATCTTTTCTACGAATCTCTTTTACGAATGGTCACCTGGACGTTCACACACTTCACTTTACTTTACTGCACTACACGACTGACCCCCACTAGGCGACTGACTGAATAAATGTCTCAGCTGCTCAGACACTAAGTCGCTCTGAAATGTTGATCACGACGCCAGGTAAGCTTCGTTGCAATCGAACAACTGAGTGACCAATGGGAACACTCTCTCGAGCATTCCAACTTCGTTTTACTTAAACATATATACCAAATAAATACTGTTGCATACATATACATAACGTAAGTTAGCTTCTGTAATTTTCGTCCATTGCTCTTGGTACGCTAATAAACAGAGAAAGAGACATACTGTGAGAGACAGAGAGACAGATATACAGACAGACATAAGAACATAGTTAAATCGGATTAGCTCATTACGCTGTTAACGAACATGCGTGCTTGATAAGGTTAAATGTTGTTTCATAATTTTATATATAAATCCTGAAAAATGATATTAAATTGAGAGATATATTCTTCGCTTTGCAGAGCGGATCGCAATCATGATGGACGTCTGTCCATTCAGGAGCTGGGACAGTACATCAATAAGCGGATTGTCGAGCACATAGACATTGCCATTATGAACAATGCCAGGGAGTTTCGACGCGTGGACATTGCGCCGGCGGACGGGCTGATCACCTGGGAGGAGTACCATCGTTTCTTTCTGCGGGAGCATGGCATGACCGAGGCGGACATCGACGAGCATGACGAGATCAGGCACACCACGCTGAACCGCAAGGCAAGGGAGGATATGATGCGGGATAAGGCGCGCTGGTCGGAGGCGGCACGCACAGATCTCTTTACGCTGACTATCGATGAGTATCTGAGCTTCAGGCATCCGGAATCGAGTGTGTCCAATCTGCTGGAGCTGGTGGACGATCTCTTGCGGCAGTTCGATCAGGACGGCGATGATCAGCTAACGTTGGAAGAGTTCTCCGACCTGAATGTGGATGACGACGAAGACCTGCTGCGCAAGTCTCTCATATCGAAAACCCTCGTGGAGCGCCGCGAGGAATTCAAGCGCATTATCGACAGGAATCACGATGGCAAAGCCGATCGTGGCGAGCTACTCAACTATGTGAACCCAAAGACGCCACGCTATGCCCTCCAGGAGGCGGCCACACTATTCAGCCTTTGCGATGAGAACAAGGACGAACTCTTAACACTTAAGGAGGTATGAGTGGCTCAATAAATGTCTAACTACAGTTCTTAAAGACTTTTCTCCTTTTTACAGATGACTGATAATGCTGAGATATTTTTGCAATCAAAGATGATCGATACGGCTAACAGTTTCCACACCGAATTTTAATCACACTATCGCACTTTTCCCATCTTTACTTCGAGCCGTCTAGGCCCAGCTAACTATCTCTGGCTATTAGGAAATGGGAGGAACTTTATAATCTTTGTGCATTTATAGTGATATTAATTTGTAAGTTGTTGCACATAATGTTTAATACAAATATAATAAATAGATCGTATAGTACACGCATCGCTATGCTTACAAAAAAACACAAACACACACACTCACAAATACGAATAAACAATATTTAGGATTAATTTTGTTAGAACTTTGTACTACGTAATCCTTAAGAGCAAGAGGCAATTCATTTGATGTGTGATTTTAAATAACAATTTTACTTAAGAATGCGAAGCAGATTTAAATACAATAATCCAATATATATATATACAAAATAAATATACGTAATTTTACGAAAATACTTAATAACATATATATAGAAATCTTGTTTTATTTATGCTCACTGGGATATGATATACATACGAAACAAACACCGCTCAATTATTAATTTTAGTTTAAAGCAAAACTTGCAGGGCTTTGCATAACTGCATCTGGCTGAAAATGCATTCCTTGGCAAAGGACTTGATGAGCTGGGAAAGATATGTACAACTGACCATTCATCTTTCATAACGGAATTCAATATTATTATTATCGAAATGTCATTCATGTCATTGACATTCTCATTTAACTAGGTTCACACAATTTTGAATCAACAGGAAATCATAAAAATAGTTATTTCTTATAGCTTACAAATTATTTGAAAATATTTTTTTCTCGTGGTCGAAAAGATCTTGAAATTTGACTTAGACAAAGAAATTATAAAGAAATACTAAATTCACTTGGTTTTGCATTGAAACGTAAAGCTAAAGTTAGTGTAACTGACATTGCATTTTATCTTTGCAAAATTTAAAATTATAAGTGCCAATATAATTTTATAATTTATATTATATTATTTTATGAGTTAACGAGGGGATCAAAATGAATGTATTTTTATGGAATCATTGGGAATGTTTATGTGGACTATACTTGTACCTGAACTTAAAATTAAAAATATTGATTAAACTCACAGCAAATATGTAAGCGAAATACAGAATAATATAAAAAGTGAAATTTGCTGTTTTGTATTATTAATTATTAATTGATTTTATTGATTATAAAATGCAAACTTTCTCCACATACAAGAGTGCATTCAAGTCTCTAGCCCTTTAGCCTGGATTAATAGTATACATATATACATACATTATGGGGTCTGTCCCGCCTTCTTCTGTTTGATACATACATCTTGACGAGTCCATTATACCTTGAATGGGGTCAGAGTATACAAATAAAATCATTTCGAGCAAAAACAAGTTTCTTTTCTGTTAATCTGAAATTTAATTAAACATTGAATCTATTAAATTACGACGCTGCGTTAGGTGGAAAGGAAGATTGCTGTGTCTATAAGCAGCTTAGGTTCTGCTGTTTTTCTAGAGAGCAGACAAATTCGGCATCATTAAACATAATCCCATGCTCAAGTGGCTGTGCCAAGATGAATAGGAGGGCACAAATGATAAATAAGTGGCACTCGGACGAATGGACGAATGGGCAAGCAAATGATGATGCAGACCCTGGCGAAGCCTGAATATCTATGGCAACGTGAATAGCTAAAAGCCTGCCAAAGCCTGATGAATATCCTTCAGAAATTTAACAGGCAATTGACTTACTGATGGTGCTAATACCCCTTAAACTCCGCAGGTGAGCTCTCTGAGGCCTTCCTCTTTTTAAAGAGATGCCAGCTAAATTGATAGATTAGTGCATTAAATGGCTAACGTCGAATACGTGTGCATAAGGCTCTGACGAGGCGAACATATTTTACTGCCAAGGAACGAGGAGGCGTGGCTGCCTTTGCTGACAATGAAAGACAAAGACAGTCGAGTGGGTAATTGAATCTAATTATTCGGAAGCGCAGATAATGAGCACGTAAAACGCAAGAAATAACATGGCTGGTATATCCCACACAGTTATTAAGGCATCCACGTGCATGTGTGTTTGTCTGTGTGCACATGTGTGAGTGTGTGTGTGTGTAGGGTTGTTTACTTATGTACGGAAACGGAAACAACAAGAGAAACGTTAGGATACATAGAGAATATAAGCGCAAGAGCGTATCTGTCAGGAAATCTCGACTAGAAAATATCCTAAATTCTTCCTGAATCATAAAAAATTTATATTATAGACATTTTCCAGGTATTAATATATTACAATACTATTCCAGAGGCAAGCTGTAAGACTATTCTAGATTAATCTATTTGTTTACAAGTATAGATATATCCATACTAAACCTGAAAGGCTTCTAATTATTATCGAAAATGCATGAAAAAATACTAAATTTTATTAGAATTATGGAGCATTCAATTTTCATAACGGAAATCTCGATTAATATTATTTCAAATCGAAGTCGATTGAAGAGCAGAAAGCTAATATACCACTTTGTAAATATTCTCAGTAGACTTCAACTACAGTAAGCTAGCATCAATTGAGTTAAGAAGCGGGAATAGACACGCTAACACAAATGCTCGAAAGCCAGGGCCAAGACACGATTTATGGTATTTTTATTTATGTATTTTATTTCTCAAGTAATCCAAGGATCAGGCCGTATATTACCATCAAGCAGTGACTACTTTTTCCAGAGCGGACTGGCATAGACTGCGGCAGGTGCGACGCCGTAAGTGGTCACAGGTGTCCTGTAGAGAGGGGCGACGGCAGCATAGGTGGAGAATCGAACGGGCGCCACAGCCGAGTAGGTGGCAATGGGAGCCACAGCCGAGTAGGTGGCGATGGGAGCCACGGCCGCATATCTGGTCACGGGTGCGGCCAGTAAGCCAGCCTGAGCGCAGGCGATGCACAGAGCCAAACAGATGAGGAATTTCATATTGATTTGATTTGTTTTTTGCTTGGGCTTCTCGCTGGTGTTTGTTGACTTGTCCGCTTGTGAGCGACTGTTGCTGTTTGGCAATCAACGCCGGGCTTTTATAGCACGGGCGTCAACCCGTTTGCGGCTTAAGTGCCAGAACAAACAGACACCCGTCGAAATTAGAACACAATGGCAATGTTTTCAATTTCTGCTCAGCAATGCTCCAGCGATGCGGATGTCAATTGTCGGCTGTGGCTTAAATGGCGGACCGGCAGCAGATCGCATAGATTCTCATTTCTCATTCAGTCATCAGGAAATAATAATCATCGGGCTTAAATTAGGCATTGTTGACGTCTCTCATTAGCCTTGCGCATAAAATGAGCGATTGTAAAGCGGGTTTGAAGGTTTCACATCAAACGTAAATATCTCCATATACATATGGCTATACATAATCTAGTGGCAATTTGCCAATATTCAAGGCATAAATAAGGAATATTTGTATTCTCTTAGTCAGAGGCCTTTGCTGTTGGAGTTTTTAACAAATCGTTGATAGACCCTTATACATACTAGTTTATAAATAAATAAATTGTTATGAATAAATAAAAACCTGACGTTTACACACTGCCATACACTTGAGTATCAATATGTTGGGTTAGTCGCTGAATAACTCTACACTGATTTACAGTATTTGAGTGGGCATAAAATGAAGGCTATGCTATATGAGCAAAAATATATTAATTATATAATTCATAAATATTTTTGTTAGTTTTGAAGACCATTTCATTTATCTTTTTTTTTTTAGATGTAACCCTAGTTGAGTTAAGTGGAAAGTATTTAAATTTCAGTAGTTCACTTATCTTATGTTTGATTCTTTCTCAATGAAAAATTTACAGTTGTGGTAGCATTAGAGAGAGACTAACATCTCATACTAGCCGAGTGCCAATTAAACAATGTATTTTAGTTGTTGAGTGAGAGCATAGTATTGCGAAATCAAGAAGAATGCATCCAGAAATAATGAGCTTGACAAGAGACGTCAGAAAAAGACACGGGTCCAAATTGTTGGACGAGGAACAGCTTTCTAGCGAGCGAGCAGAACAATACCGGGGACTGATTATTGTACATAGTTATGGTAAAAGGGGATCTAAATACATACATATATTTATTTCTTATATATTCTGTATGCAAATTATGTGGTTAATTAAAAGCAAACCCATCTAGAAATAGTTTCCGTTGTCCCTTTACAAAGTCGCATTCGATCTCATGATTTATATTTATTTATTTAAATTTAAATAGTCAGAGATTATTTTACTTGTAATTAAAAGGGCTAGCTTCTATATATGAAAATTTTAATAGTAATATACATTTAATTGATTTACGGATAAGCTACATAGATTGCCAAGGCTGTGGGCATACTTAAAATCATGACACTAAAAATCCCACATTGGAGTGTGAGCTATGCATTCAGCATTAGCAGGAAATGTCACTTGTTCAAATTTTTATAGCATTTGTTGTCTTTAAATTTGGAGTCACTCATTAAATGCAGCCACAAGTTTTGAGTGTGGATCGGGGTATTCATAAATTGAGTAAGCTACATAAAACAAATGGCAGTGAGCCAACTTAACGAGCCGCAAAAAAGATGCTACATTTGCTAGCACAGCATCTCTTTCTCGCTCTCTCTCTCTCTTTGTGTGTGAGTGCTATATAAAATGAAGTCCCTGTCTGGTGCTCGGAACATTTTTGCCATACAAATGTTTTGCATTATTAGGAGACAAGCCGGGCGAACGGGCACGCGTCGCCGAGCTTGGTAGTTGAATATGTTCTACACGTAAGTTACATTAGTCAAACTGGTCCCTGACAGAGTCCTTACGAATTTGCAGAGCACGCCAAACGATACGACAACGCGACAGACACCCTGGCCAAAGCTGGGTAAGTCAAGGAAATTATTGAAGGGCTCTGGCCAAAAAGTAAAGAAAAAGGAATGCGAGCTCGAAGCGCTCTGCATGAATATGCTACACACATACACAGATGTGACTATCTGTGACTCTGCCTGTGTGTGTGTGTGTGTGTTTGCCATAACTATTTCATCTTCTAGCTCATACATATTAAAATCTCAGAGAAACGAACTTCAACAGCCCACAAAATGGAAACAAAAACACAAATAAAAATGTACTGGATCAAATGCAAACACACACATACACACACACACACACAAGGAGAGGCAGGAGGTTGGCAAGAGGGGGCCGAGGCTCATGCATTTTAAAATTCAGCCATTAGAGCACTTTGTTTTTATTTTTGGTATATGCAGAATATTATTTGAGCACGTTTTTGGCGCCTGACATTGCATTTAACATTTTGCATGCATAACAGAGAAGCCAACCAGGACACATGCCCAAAAGCCAAAAACGAGAATGAAGAAAAAACACTTAAAAATAACTGCCAGCAGTTGGCTTAACTCTCGAGTCTCGACTTTCGACTCTCGACTCGTGTCTCAGAGCTCAGACTCTGCTTTGGAGTAATTAAACGCTTTAAGATTGCAATAAAATAAATCATTTAAACTCGTTTTGTTTTGCAAGTCTAACAAAAAAGGATTTCCCCCAAATTGGCTAACAACACATCATTTAACAGGCTGCCAACACATCAAGGAGCAGGTGTGAGGAGGGCAAACGGGCGAACGCGTGTAAGATTAGCTACAGTGGCAGCAATTGAAATGTTTGTGGCTTATAAGAATAACGAAAGAAAACAAGTCAACTGCTTCTTGGGACTTGCGACATATACATATGTAATATAATAATAATAGTAAATATAAAATTAATACAAATAATAATAAAGTAACGTATATCATATGATATCATTAAAATTAAATGATTTAAAATTAGTTAAACTCTAACTCTTTGTTCTACTTAAAATGTATAAAAAATTATAATTAAATATGATGCAGTTTTTCAAATGTGGTATATTTTTCAATCTAGACCTGATACCAAATTCAAATTTCTTCTTCTCTTCTTATTTATTTAAAATATATATTTAATAAAATATATAATATATTAAAATTAATAATATAGTATTAATATGTTTAATAACATATATGTTACTCATTTATTTTTCTATATATTTCATATAAGCAACAATTTATCTTCAAGTGCCATACACAAACAATAAATACAACATTTTTTTTAGTTTTCCAAATCTACGGATTTTTGTTTAAATTCGATCGAATTTGCCGAAGTTTAACTACAAATATTTCATTGGATTTTCATGGATTTTCCGTGGACATTTCACACATATTTTATTATATTTTTATTTTACATTTTTCGCAGTTTAATTGAAAAATTCAAATCCCCAATTGGGACACAAAAAAATAAATAAAAAAAAGCAATAATAGCCCATTAAGCAATAAATTATTTGACTTTTGCGCGTACAAATCCAAAAGTTTTAGAATATGATTTATTTATTTATTCAAAATTTGATTTCGTTTTGTCAAGTTGTTTGCCATTGTGTGCGGAGTGGAGTGGGCAACAAAATTACAATAAAAGGTAATTCGGTAGTAACAACTTGAAGGTAAACACTTAACTAACTTTATGTGTTTGTGTGTGCATGTGTGTTTGTGTGTGTCTCTGTCCAGGTACTCCTGCTCGATTTATGCTATGGGGGCCGGTCCTCGAACTTTGTCCATAAGTATGTGTGCGTGGTAAACTCATTCACATACATGGAAAGTAAAAAGCAATTTTCGTAACATTTGCATGCCTTAAACCAACACGCACACACATAAATATATACATATATAGATGTATGTATATATGTATATGTGGGTATATATATATATGTAAATAGAGAGCAGCCGTGGGAGACAGGGAAAAGCAAGCGAGGACACGCGGCCTACCTTTGTGTGGAGTAGCAAAAACTACGATTATGTATGTGGGTGTATTTGTATGGGAGTGTGTGGATGTGTGTGTGTGTCTGTAAGTTGAATGGAGTACGTGTTGTGCTGAAAATGCAATTTGCCTTCTGTGCGAAAAGTACGTAAAATTTATGCAAATTTCCCCGAACTGCCCCTGACCCATGGCTCATGTGACGGGGAACGGCGATGGCGATTTCGACTCTGCAACAAGCGGAAACAGGAAATGCGCCATTGTGTGCGTGCTCTCGCATGCACGTGTGTGTTTCCGAATGCGACTGTGTGTATGTGTGTGTGTTCGAGTATATATGTATTTAGTACGCGCTAAAATGAAAATGTAGTGAAATATGCGATAGAAGAGGCCAACGAAAAAATATGTAAGCACAAATATGCTACATATACACGACCTCAAATTTGCCCTCAATATAGAAATGGGTATACTAGGTGGGTGGGTAAATATGTAACATCAATATATATTTAACAAAGTTTATGATTAAATTTGAGGTATTATGAATTTACGATATACATACGTAAGTAGTTTAATACGAATCATTTTATATCAACATGTTTTTTTTTTTATATCATAACAATTTAAATATTTTCTCATAATACATGAAAGGCTTTAGCCAAAATGCTTTTAAAATTATTTTATTTCCTCTATTTTTTTAATTTTTTATTGTAAAATCTATTTATTATACTTTTACGATATACAAGATAAGACTCTTGATACTTTAAAATTTAATTTTTTCGTTATTTAATTTTATTATTTTTGTTGCCCTGCTTCTAAACTTCTTCGCTTTCTACTTAAAATTATTGTCTCGATCTTCATCTCTTGCTTGAGATATACACGATCATCGTAAGCCCGCCAACTATCGACAGCCTCTTAGACAACGATATGAATAAGTATCGTTAAATGTATAGCTTTTGATAGTTCCCCATAGTGCTGTTCCCTCTAATCACTTCTTGTTTATTCTAATATTTAGATTATAAAAATATTTGTTGCATGCAATTCTATCTAACTGATTTCACTTCAAAAAGAATAAATCGGTAAATACAATAAATACAATATATAACATTCATATTTTACAGAGAATAAAAAGAAAAACTAAACTCAAAATCCGTGCCATATTAGTTTAGTTTATGATTGCCAAGCAGATCTCGTGCTCTATTACAGGGTAC